CATGGCAACCCACTCCAGTATTCTTGCCCGGAGAATCCCATGGACAGAGGAGCCTGGTGGGCTACCGTCCATGGGGGCACAAAGAGTCAGACACGACTCAACTACCAAGCACAGAACAGTATTGCTTGTTTTATATTTGGGGGCTTTTTGGCCTCAAGGCATGCGGGATCCTAGCTTCTCAACCAGGAGTTAGATCCATACCCCCTGCATCGGTAGGCAAAGTCCCAACCACTGGACCACCAGGAAATTCTCGAGAACTCCTAGTTTCTTTTGAGGGAAGTTATAAAATCCCTGTGATCCCTTCATACTCTACACAATTCTATGGTTTTAGTTAAATCCTGTCATGTTCGTGACAAAAATGAAAACCAGAAAGAGGTTAAGCCAACTGCCCAAAGTCAACAGAGGTATTTACTGTTAGATACATTCATGGATACAGTTCCATTTTCTGTTGCTAGTTTCAAGTAGTTCTTACCTTTTCTGCAGGATTTCATACTAAAGATCCAGTTCAATCTCTTGAAATGCTTGGAGGTTAAGAAAGTCTTTGAAATACTAATCAAATAGTCATTCATTCATTCTAGAAATACATTGTGATTAAGGGTATTCCCCAAACTTATGTTCAATCTCAGTGTATCTCTCTTTAGATATCATTCTACCTATAGAAGAAAATTAATATACTTTCTTTAAAGCAAAATATGATAGTTAATTACAAAAATATTCTATACTATTTAATATGTTAGGTAGATAACAGGCTGGCAAGTTTCTACACATGTTTGTACAAAAATCTTGGTTTGCAGGTTCAGGAGGTTTCATTACAAAGTCCTCCTGGGGATAAGACTGATGGCTAAGGGAATAACTGCATTCTTCACCTATTAACAATAAAAATAAAGAGATTTGATAACCAAACTGAAAATTTAAATAGTTTCACTTCTAACATCTCGTGAGGCTTTAGATGAATTACCAAAGGCATAAAGAACTCTAGCTGTTATTAATCTCAAATCTGTCTATCTGGGCACAAAAGAACTCTATATACAGGCTTTTGAAATTTTTAGAAATACGCTTCCTGGAAGAACCTGAGTCTGGATCTGGCCAACAAACGGTAATCCAGACTGGGGCAAGATGCATGGTACTTAGCTATGTTCAAGGGCAGAAAGGCATTTGCTTTATCTGAGCTATCCTGCGAAAACACAATTAGAACACCCAGGGAAATATCACCAAGAGGGATATTATTTGTGATCATCATTGTTTTTAGTGCATAGTTTTCTCCTCTGTGAATCTAGATAAAATTAGTTGAAGCCCTGTAAAAGAGTACTGGATGTTTTATTTAAGCTACAAGCAAGAGGTGGTAAAATGTTTAAACTGAGTGGTGAGACCTTTGTATGGGCTTCAAGGGGTAAATAGTGAAAAAGAGAGGAAAACAGTCCATAATTCCATCATCCTGCTACAACTACCATGAGGGTTTTAATGCATGTTTGTTTACTTTCCTCCTAAGCAGTCGTTATATACACTTGCAATTGAGAGGAGAAAAAGCTCTAAGATGTCCTGCCAAGTCCTGCCTTTACCGAACTATCCTCCTTTCCAGCACATATATTCTCTGCCTTCAAAACCAACAAGACCTATCCCATCACCCTTGCTACGGTGGTTAATACAAGCCCAGGATCTCCAGGGATGCAGGCAAGCAAGCATCACTACCAGGCTGCTACCCTCATACACTTCTGACAGCCCAGCACCCCAGAGCTCTCCACTCTGTCCTCTGTCCATAGTCTTCCAGCAGCAAATTCCTCTCTGTTCTCAAACTGTGAACATTTTCTTCACTTCTCTGTTCTAAGTGAAACCTGCGGTCACGGCTTCCCCTGCTGTTTTCTCTCGTATTTTCATTGTGCTAAGGCCTGAGTCCACCTCCACAGCTGGCCTCCTCCGTGTCAGTGATCTTCCTTTCTCTCTACACTCCCAGCTTTTAAAAGTTGTCATTAGACTCAATGACAGGTGGCTCCTCCTTGCTGCAGTTATCAAGAGAAGGCCACCCCTTACCATTCTCCCCTCATTCTTTCCTTTTGCCATACTGAACTGGCTTGGGGGATCTTAGTTCCTCAACCAGGGATTGAACCAGGGCCCTTGGCAGTGAAAGCGTGGAGTCCAACCACTGGACTGCTGGGGAATTCCCCATCCGCTCTCGTTCCTTAAAGATTTTAGTCCCTGACTCAGTGTTACCTTTGCCAACATTACTTACATTATAAAACACTTCCTGATTTCAGAATCCGCAGGGGAGCCTCCCAATACTACTGGCCTCTAGGTTCGTTGACCACTTTCCCATCAAGTGTCTTGTCCTCCACCGTACCTCAGCTTCCTCCATAGCCATGCTCCAGGCCATGTCACTGTCAAACCCCAATGCCGCCTCCTCCATTTCAAGCATCCCAACCACTACTTGCCTGACTTCCAGCTTACTCCATTTAGTTCCCTCCCAATTCAAGGAGACCTATGATGCAGTGATCTTACCATCCTCTCACTATTAATAATATCCTCCATTACCTCCACTCAGCTTCTTCAGACAGCTTATCATTCATCTATGTATCCCTCCAACTCCTTGCCTCTCCTTCCCATCATAATATTCACGCAGCAAAACCTCTGCCTTGTCTCGCTTACTCTGTGCCTGCATCAGTGCAGCTCAACACGGCTGGAGAAAAACATACCCATGTGGCTGCTCTCATCTTAAATCCATGACCAGAAACCAGGATTGCCATCTGATAATCCTGCCATCTGGTCCCTCTGCACTCCCTCTCTCCTAGACAGTTAATTCATACCCCTCTCTCCTCAAACTTCCAACACCTGCTCCTCCCCCAGCCTCACTCTTGGCTCATGATTTTGCTTTCCATGTCTCCTGAAAAAAAAAAAAAGTAGAAGCGAACTTCCACAAGTTCCCCCCAACACATCGGCCCGCCACGTGCACCTGTGCCCACACGCACATCTGTCATCCCTCCTGTCACAGGTGAGCTGTCTGTGATCTGAGGCCAAGCTCCTCTTCCTGCTCTACACCCCAGGCCTCCTCCCCTACTCAGGGCATATCGCCAGCGATTCTCCCCTCTCTTTCCCACATCATCTTATATTCTCCCTTGGGGATCCTTTACAAAAGCACACAAATGCTGTAATTTTTCATCCTTAAAAATCCCTCTCTTGACCACATCACGGTGAAAACTAAGTCAGACCTTATCCATGCTGCTCAAAACCCCTTAGGCTCCCACCCTACTTAGAGAAAGGCCAACGTCTACTAAAGACCTCCACAGGTGGTCCACCCCCTCCACCCTCTGTGCCTCAGCCAGCGGCATTTTCATCCTTCCAAGCATACTCACTGGGCATGCTTTCTCAGGCCTTTGTGCATGCGGTTCCCTCAGACTGAACAATCATTCACGCCTTCACCACAGAGGCTCTGGTTGGCCTCTCTGTGTAAAGCTGCAATGCAGCCATATCCCCAATGTGCCCTATCTCTTCACTGCTTTATTTTCCTTCTTTGCATGTATCGATTTCTAACATAGAGTGTGCCTACTTGTTAGGTTTATTGACTGTTTCCTCCAGTCAATATTCACAGAGCTGGAATATAAGCTCTGTAAGAGCAAGAAACTTTTTTTGGTTTACTTTGCTTACTGCCAATGTTTCCTCAGCACCGCAGGGCCTGACTCACAGCAGGTGTTCAATAACCATCAGTTGGTTGAATGAATGAATGAATGGTTAAAATTAAAGATGTAAACGTAATATTTAATCATTTTAAAGTTTTCATAATCATGTTTGTTTACGGTTCTTCTATAGCCTCTGCATTTTAGAGTTCTCTGAATCAAACATGAGGACCCTCATTTTACCATGTTCTCCTGTAAACATGTCCCTGCCTTTCAAACAGAATTTGATTTCAGAATGAGAAAAGTCAAAATTCTGGAGCACTTTCAGTAATTCTTTTCCTGCTTTCATTTCAGTTTATACTGAGTTTGGTTTGAAAGGAGGTGGCTTTGGGGAGCAGAGAAAATCTTGGGAGGACTTGAGAAAGAATATCTGGGAGCAGAAAGCATCAATCAGAGCTTAGAAAGAAACCCATTCAGAGGGTAAGGGGGGGAAATATTGACACTGAAAAGAAACCGTAGAATCAGTCATATCACCTGAGAATATGGTTCTCTGGGTCAGAAGGACACTGTGGCCCAAAGTTGCCTCCAAGATCAAAGGAAAAGTGAAATTCCAAAGAAGAAATAAAGATTTTAGCCAGGATTAAAAGTACAAATAAAAACAAAACCACAACAGGGCTTGAAGGTGGTGTCAGTGGTAAAGAATCTGCCTGCAATGCAGGAGACCCCCAGTTGGATCCCTGGGTGGGGGAAGATCCAGAGTGGAAAGACCTCCATGTGAATCTGGTTCCCCCACTTCCCAGCGTTGGGAGGGAGTTCCCAGCAGGTGGGGGTGGGGGCTGGGAGTAGGAGGAGCTGGGTGGATTTCGGCTCCTCGCCCACCCCACCCCCCACTGGGTCCCCAGAGCCCAGCAGCAGGTAAGAGGCCTGGATACTGAATGAGTGACGCTTGGGGTGAACAAATGCCGAACTCAGGGGAGGAACTTCTCAATTCAAGCTGCCTCTACAGGTGAGCCAGACTTTACAGAATTTGCTCGGTTTTTTCCGTCACTTTACTGCCCCCTCTCACCGTCTGCTTAACCCACTCTCAGAATAACCTTCCCATTTGTGGTTTGTGTCTCCGCTCCACAATGGAGCCGGCGTCAACGACGTCAGTCCCTCAGCTACCAAACATTAATTTCCATTTAAAAACAAAGTGTTTTAGCAGAGAAATGGGGATGCAGGAGGCATGGTGCAGAGTCTGGGCTCCACTTATTAGCGCAGGCTGACAGATTTTTCATCAGGTTCTTGTTTTTCTCCCCTGCAGGAAAGCTTATTTCCATAGAAGGATATCCCCCCTTTGTGTTCATTCTTCATTCACAGTTTTAGTGTTTACTTTTGCTTTTTGTCTTTGCACAGTCCTTGCAGTTTCAAGAATCTGAAGAGGCTCTGGATGGGAATGCCTTACCCTTCCCTGAAAATATGTCTGTGCCTGCCAGTAGGAGCTGACACATTGCCCTGGTATTCCTTTCCCATCTCTGTAAGGCAAAAGGGTGCTAGTAAATCATGTGGACAAGCCTCAGATAAGCTGGTATTTGTTTTTGGGACATTTTTCAAGCCTGGGGCCAAGACTGTACAACAGTAAGTTCATTTCAATGGAGTTCCTGGAGAGAGGGTTCCAGATGTAGTCTGGACTGCCGTTCCGAAGTCCAGCAAAGTTGAGGAGAAGGAAGTCTTCAAAGCCCACTGCTCAGAGAACAGCTGCGCCCACTGAAGCAAGAGGCTGCTCTCCCCAACAATGGGGGTGCCGCGGCGGGGGAGGTGGGAGTTGCTTGGTAAACTGGAGCGGCAGAAGTGCCAGCCTGGGCCACCCCCAGCAGAATATAATCTCCATGAACGAGGGCAGAGGCCTCTTCTGGTTTTGCTCACAATGTCTCCAGCATCTATGTGCACAAGTTATAATTACTGTTCAGTAAATATTTGTGGGATGCATGAATGAAGGAGGCAGAAAGACTGGGCACCACAAAAATCCTTTTGAATAAAAAGGGGAGTTTTGGAAAGGGTTACATCTGCTCCTGTCATGTTAAGTTTTCCTAGGAGATGTTTCTAATTCTACTGAAACTCCAGGTTGCTGTGGCCTGGAGAAGAAAATGAGTCTCTAAAGTCTTTTTTTTCTGCTATATATGACAAAGCAAAAGGGGGGAGGGCTTCAATAAAAAATTATGGGGCCTAGTGTGAGCCAAATATGATGCTAGACAGGAGATGAAAAACTAAGATAAAGACTCCTGGACACAGAGCTATATCTGTGTGCTGTTATATATGTGTATACAGAAATATACAGTTACTATTTATTAGCACTTGCCTCATTTCAGACACCATTTAATTCATCTAATACTAGTAAGATGTTGTAGCACTGTTGTTTCCATTTGATAGATACGGAAATTGAGGCCAAGAAGTTTTTAAGATGGCTAAATATAAAGCAACCTTGACAATAAAGTGCTTCTTCCTTTTCCTAATGAAAAAATTACCCTCTTTCAAAGATTCTTGGCTAACTGAAGTGAGAACGCTTTTAAAAATGATAGTATACAATTTCTGATATGCACTGTTCAAAATAAGGAACCACCAAAGTCACTGACTTAATTCTTCCTTTGGCCAGAAGAAGAAAAGATAAAAATAAATTTCCGAGGATCTCTTTCTTGAAAAAACTTTATGTAATCTTGTGTTAGTCCCTCTGTCATGTCCAACTCTTTGTGACCCCATGGACTGTAGCCCACAAGGCACCTCTGTCCATGGCATTTTCCCAGCAAGAATACTGGAGTGGGTTGCCATTTCTTTTTCCAGGGGATCTTCCCGACTCAGGGGTCCAACCCTGCAGGCAGATTCTTTGCCATCTGAGCCGCCACAGTTCCTAATTTGAATAATGTTATCCCATGACAATTAATTGGCAGGTAATGTTATTTCCATTGGAGATAGTAAATTTTAGAAAATCTGGGTGTTTCCCAGTGGGTTTCTTAGAGATAACTCTAAAAAGACATTTCATGGTTACTGAAAACAGAGTAGGATTTTATTATGGGAATGTTTTCAGCCTTCAACTTTATCCAACAGCTTTCTCTTCCACACGGCCTTACCGTTTAGCTCCCAGTCTCTATACTTATATTAACACCCTCTCTTACACGCTTAGGGTTTTTTTAACCAGCAATTACTGAAAAGGAAAACTGCTATTTCAGGCCACAGACAAGATTTCATTTACTGAATCTAAGTCAGAAGAATAAAAAGTAAATTTAAGACCAAACCAAAGAATATAAGAATAAATAGATTTTAGGAATAAACATAAAATTTACAGTATGTTTCATCCAGGGAGGTGAATAATATGTAATCAATACCTATTATATTTTCATCTATCAATTTGATTCAATATGTACATTTCAAATGTCTTCATCATCACCGCAGCTACTTTTTGAGTCAACTAACACAGTTTCCTGTAGTCTTTACCGTGTCCGTCTGGTTTCCTTAGCAGGAACACACATGACTATAAATATAGGCCCCTTCCCCACCATGTTGTTCAAATAGCTGCACATTATTACAAAGCATATTTACCAACATGCTCTGGAAACACTGGATTGTTTCCAAATGCTCAATATTACAAGGGGCACTGAAACATCCTTATAGATAAACATGTACATATGTTCTTAGTGATGTCTACAGGATTTTACTTGGTCATAAAGCCAAGCAGGACCCCATGGGATCCTCCTGGAGACAGGCCTCTCATCGCCCCTCCCCGTGTCCCTAGCCTCTTCCCTGTAAAAAAAAACCTTTAGCCTCTCAGGCTCAGAAAAGTTACAGAATCAGAATAAACCAAAGGAAGTCGAACAAGACAAAACTATGACAGTTTACCTAAAAAACAAAATCAAGGATCTTTAGTTCCTCCTCAAGGCCTATGTATAATATCTTGAGCCATATCTTTGAGCTGTTTTATAGATACTAAAACCCCGGCCAGGTGGAAGAAGTTAACTGCATGCTGACCAACAGCACGCAGACCCCAGATTGGTTAAAATCAGAAAAGTTAATGATCAATATTTCCAAAACATCACTCTGTTACCTCACTATTAACCACTATTGTGGTTAGAGAACTGAACACAATCTGATCATCCATCTCATGAGCCTCTCTCACACACTGTCTTTAAAAACCCTTTCCAGAAAGCCATTGGAGTGTTTAGGTCTTTTGAGCATGAGCTTCCCAAGAATACCTCCCCCATCCCCACCTGGCACAAGGGATTTTTTTTTTTTTTAAACTTTTATCACTATCAGTTAACTTTACCTGTCTCTGAACTTCACACAGGGCTTCCCAGATGGCTCAGTGGTAAAGAATTGATCTGCCAGTGCAGGGGACTCAGACTCAATCCCTGGGTCAGGAAGATCCCCTGGAGAAGGAACTGGCAACCCACTCCAGTGTTCTTGCCGGGAAAAATCCCATGGACAGAGGAGCCTGGCAGGCTATAGTCCCTGGGGTCACAAAGAGTCGGACACGACTGAGCGACTAAGCACGAATTTCATACAGGTACTCCTTTCATGCCTGGCTTCTTTTACCCAACATAATACCTTTGAGATGCAGTCATGCTTTTGCATGTGTCATTGGATCATTTTTTAAATTAGTTCATAATTTTCATTGCTATGAAATATTTTACTACATGAAAGTGCCACAATTCATTCTATCCATTTCCCTGTTGTTGTCCACTTGGGTGACTAGCTTGGAGCTATTAGAAATAAGGCTGCTATCAACACCGTTGTTCACATCTTTTGGTGGTGAAGGAGGGTAGAAGAGGCCACCCCAAAATGAGCCACCTCACCATGTGGGTCATTTTGAGCTGAAGGCAAACAAGATCCAGCAACAGGAAAAGTTTTTTGCTTCTCCCTTAACTGCCTAAAAGTAGAAAGGGGGACTGTACTAAGAATCTAATGTTTGCCTTTCTTTCTTACAGTTCTGTGTGCGTTCCTCTCCTCTGAAGCTCCAGATTCCTGTCCCTTTCCTTATCTCAGGATAGGGTACAAGCATAACTGCGTGGCTGCCTTTGATTCTCATTTCTTGTGGGACTCCTGTATGTAATTAAATTTATTTCTCTCCCATTAATTTGTGTTTTTATTATGGGGAGTCTCAGCTAAGAACCCAGAAAACATATATTTTTCCCTTCCCTTCCAGTGAACACATTTTTCTTATATGTTTATTTAGCACTGGAGCTGCAGTTCAAGGGCTAGGTAGAGGCATGATTTTAGTGGAAATAGCTGGTTTTTCAAACTGACTGAGCCAATTTACATTCCCATAAATAATATGAGATTAGTTCCAGTTATTCCACACAGTTACCAATATGATGTCTAAACATGAAGATACATATAGATATGACATGACAGATTCTTACACATTCCATTCATATTACAATAATTTATTCTGGATTTTCACCATTAGAACATAGAGTACAATAACAAAGGAGGGTTTAGACAGTTGTTTCAAGTGGTTGATTCTTGGTAGAAACTGTCCATAGTACAATCATTATTATTCTGGTCAACATGTCTGAGACCTTCTAACATACAAAAAGGTCAGAGAAAAACCCCTATAACCTTTCAAGTCAAGCTGTTAACCTTCCAAATGAACCTCTAAGATATGATAGTCCATAATCAGCCACATAATTAGCAAACTAAAGTCAAGGGCACTTTTATCTCAAATCAAAATTAAAGAGATTTATGTCCAGTTACTAATGCATCTGATGCTCATTATAATAAAACTTATCTCCATGAGAAATCTCAAAAAATGAACTGACTTTGACTAGATGAAGCCTCACACATCTCTGAGAAGAATATCTTGCTATGTCCAGCTTATAAAAAAGTGAACTGAGACTTTGAAGAATTCTAGCTGAGATGGTGGATAGGCTTCAAAGGCTCTGTGGATATACCCATCCAATTCTTTGTCCTCCAATTAAATCACTGCCACAGACTCTCCCACGTATGCACTTATAAAAAGTGACTTGTAAATAGCTGTCGACCTGGTGGATCTATCTGTTAAACAGCTGGAGCCAAGAACACTGGAACCCGCACAAATACCAAGAAGTATGAAAAACTGAGTCTGCGATCCTCCTCCCCAATTCCCAGTCACACCCAGGGATGGGATTGGTGTTGAGGGTCTTCCAGCTGCCCCCAAGGATCTACTGTACCTTCCCTGGGAGCTCAGCCCACACAGGCTGCAGCAAGAACCTCCAGGTAGGCTCACCGTGGGGGAACACTGTCAGAAAGGGGAAAAGAAGAGTGAGGCTGGGACAGTCATTACACCAGTCTCTCTCTGCGGCTCCCTGTAAGCTGGCTGCATCTTTTAACCAGAAGGCATAGCTCTGGTCAGGCAGCCCCCTGCACACGGCCTCTTGTCCTCGGTTCTGGTGACCACTCCCTTCCTCTTCAGCTCTAGGGCTGGTATCAGCCTGAATAGCCCTGCACATGTCCTGCATTTTCTCTCCACCTTTATAAGGAGTTTCTTTATTAATTCTCTTCAATTTATCTGATTTATGTGTGTCATCTCTGTCCTGTTTGGACTCTAGTTAGTACTATAGTCTTAACTAACATCCAAGTCTTACTAAAGTCTTAACTAAAGTCCAACCTAAAGCCTTCACAGTAAATGAAAAAGAAGGACACTGTTAGATATATCCTAAGAGACATATCTAACCTTAGGAGGCCTGGAGGAAGAACAAGAATGAATGGGCTTTACCTATCACCTATAAACAAACTGCCTACAAAGACTTGGTGGTTCCCTCAACACGCAGTGAGCACCTATGATGTGGCAGGTCTGGTGCAGGCACTTTCACATATACTGTGTCATCATGTGCCGTGTAGCTTTGAGCAGACTTGTAACCTCTCGGCATCCCAGTTTTTCATCTGTAAAATGAGAAAAATAATAGGACCCACCTTGTGGGGTTATTGAGAGAACTAAACGAGATAATACTGTCAAGTGCCGGACAGGACATAATACATGTTCAATATATGTTAGCTATTAATAATAATGATTTTGAAGAGACAATAGTTATGAAGATGAATAGGCAACTCTTAAAACAATCTTCTGAGGTAGGTATTTCCCTCATTTTAAAGAAAAGTAAACTTGGGCCTCATGAGCTACACCACAAAGTGGAGGCAGAAGAGAGATTAATCTGGGGCTGCTTCTTGAGGATAGAAAAGACCACATTGATCTGTTGACTGTACTTTCTATGTAAGAATGAATTCTTTAATGAGTCAAAAAGACAACTAACCTGTTAATCAACTAAAATAG